ACCCTGTAATATAATACGTGGTCCAATTTAAAAATTATAGGTCAATATTAAGGTCCGATACCGTGCCGTTAGTTAACATAGAAAAGTGTCTTCGTATTTCCTTGTTTTAATGCACTATTTAAAATATACATAGTGTACCCCCTAATTGACCTATAATTATTTCCTGTGGTAGGGTACACTATTACCCTGTAATATAATACCTGGTCTAATATAAATATTATGGGTCAATATTAAGGTTTATTAGCTTTAAAATGAGGAAATTCGTACTCGATATTCTGTTTTAACATATGTCCAGATATCTTACCTTAATATTGATCCATAATTTTTATATTGAACCACATATTTTATTACCGGGTGCTAGTGTCCCCTACCGGAGGAAATAATTATAGGCTTAATAGGGGGTCCACACTGTGAAACCTATAGGTCACTATGTATGTATATATATAATAGTGTATTAAATAGCTTTAAAATGAGGAAATTCAGTGTCAATATTCTGTATTAACACATTAGCAGTCGTAAACCCGAAAAATTGGATGGGCTGTTCAGTTATTGTTATGAAGTAGGAAATAAAATGAGTGAGCATTAAATGTAGTTATCACATTCCCTTTAACCACCTCCTGCTGCACAGTGTATACTAACGGAGTAAATCCGCAGTTCATCTCAACGTAGTAAGGTAGAGATTATCATTAAAAAACCGCATCTTCATGCATGTATTCAACTTTGCAAACATAATTTAATTAAAAATTATACATACGAAATTTATGCAATATAAAATTTAATTTGAATTTTATACAATGAAATGAAGTTAATCTGTTAGAGTTCAGTCTGTAATTTTTTCTTTCTTTTTGCAGTTCTTGCATTAATGCTAATAAAGAAAATAGACATTCAGAATAATTTTTTTTAATGAAAATATCAAAACTGTACACTATTTTTGGTTATGATACATGTGGGATACCACAATAGATGGACATAAAATATAGAAACCCATTAATATTTGTAGTGAGGGATTGTCTTGCCCAAAATCCAGATACATTACTCAATAAATACATTGAGTACTAAATGTTCTGTACCCGAATTTATTTGCTACCTGTGAACCAACCAGACCAGAAATCCTGTGTAGAGTAAATAACTTTTTTGCTCTTTTCTTTATCGGTAGAAATATTATTTCCATAAAGACTCAAATTTCTTTTCAAAGACTTTCAAAAAAAAAAGAAAAAGATTCTTTTCAAAACAGCAATATTACATGAAAAAAAAAATGGTTAACTACGCTACATGTTAAGTAATTTAACTATTTTTTTATGATTGAAGAATTTTTTCAAATGTTAATATTCATATGGACGCTTGGAAAATCTAAAGACTTTAAGGGGACCGGAAAGTAACATCGTTTCTGAGCATTTGATATTTGTTATCAGGAATTTATTTTTAATCAGTAACTTATTCACCCTCGTTATCAGTAACCTTTCAATGCCGAATTGAAAATGAATCGAAAAAAAAAAAAGAATTGGTTTTTAGACTAGAGAATATTTAACGTGCAGAAACTTTCCGGTTCTCTTAATATTTAAATATTTCCTTATTTTGTAACACATGTTTTATTTTCAGTGTGTGAATTTGATTCCATTGATTGGCGTTTGAAAAAGAAAAACCAAAAATATATCGTAATGAAGTACTTGAAAAATATGCATATTTTAAAAGACTTTTGTTGATTTATCTATTTTTTCTTCATAATTCCGTATTTTTCCGTTATTTCCGTAGCACTTTTTGGTTTGTTTTTAAAAAATAGTCACAAACATGACGAAATTAACGTAATCAGTCAGTTACCATGCTTATGCTTTTTTTTTTTTTAATTATCGGGAAAAATGTTTCGGGAAATCCAAATATACTATAGATTTTAGATTTTTAAAAAAGGACGGTAAGGCAAGGTCAAAAATCATTTTAAAAAAAGAATATTTTGAATAGCAGAGTGCGCAAAGTGAAAAATGGACCACACTAAATTACTTTTGATCTAATGATCGGATCTTCACGTTCAATGGTTCGAAAGGAAGAGCTCAAATATGCTAAACAATTAGTGCAGACGCTATTTTAAGTTAAGAAATCAGACACAAAAACGTATTTTCTCTGAATAAATATACCTTTTCTTCGACGGATTCGACTTCCTGATCTCCAAAAGATAGGAGGTGGCCGCTATCTCGGAAATATGGTTCCAATAGTTTGGCCAGGTTAGCGGTCCAAAGTTTGGACTCGTTAATGTTCATTTTACCTTTAAAATCATTTTGTTCTTCTAGAATTGTTTAAGCTATTTGAAAACATTTTTGTACACATTTATAAAATTCGTTTATCCAAAGATATTTCCATTCATTACATAACTTATTTTAAATATTTATTGTTTTTTATTATTTTACTTAATGATGGTGGAAAAAATTTTGAAATGAAAGGTGAACATTTTTTTGCATGATTTTTAAATAATGCAATACGGACATGGCTAAGTGCAGAATTTGAGCGGTTGAAAAGTTTCCGAGAAATTGAATTTCAAAAAAGACAGATACTTAAATTTCAATTTCTCAGGAACTATTCGACCGATTTCGCTTAAATTTAGAATTTTGTCATGCAAAATTGCATTCAAAATGATACAAAAAATTTTATACCTTACAATTAAAAATCTTTCGACCTAATATTAAAGAAAAATAATTATAAAAATTTACTTCAACTTACTTTTTTCAAGGTATTATTTTTGGATGAACGAAATTTTTATTTTTGTGCAAAATTGTGTTAATTCGAGATACAGCGAAATACGCAAAAAGTAAAATGTACATTAAGAAGTCGAAACTTTGGAGCTCTCTCCTGTTGGGACCTCATTTCCCAGATTGTGGCTAACACTTATATTTTGGGGGTCAAAAATCCTATTCAGTCTGAAAAAAGGCATGTTTACTCAGAGAAAGTACTTTTTTGTGTCGGATTTCGTCACTTGAAACATCGTCTGTACTAATTAATTAGAATATTTGGAAGCCTCGAGCCATTAAGATCTAGAACGAGAAGGTCCGATCATTAGTCCAAAAGTTATTCAGGGTGATCCGTTTTTTATTTTGCTCATTGTACATTGTACATTTTCTTTGTGAATGCTGACATACGTTAAAATTAAAACAGGTTAATACATCACATAAGGATAAAAAAATATTTAAATAAATTAGAAATATCTTGCTATCGGAAACACTAACTTTTTATCACACTAATACAATTAGTTATAATTGTTTGGAATATATTTAACTATTTAAATTTGCCAAGCGTCGAAATAAATGTATATTAATTGCTACGTTGTATGTAAAGATCAACATTAAAGACTGATCACTCTTAATAACTTTTTATCTATAATTGGATTTTCGCATACTAACATGCTATCTTAAGAAATCTAAGGGTAATTCTTAACCATACTACTTAGTCAATATACTTTACTTACAAAATTGAGAGAAAAAAAATATATTGATTTAAAATAAACATACAAAACATAAATGTTTTTAAAAAAAAAGGTAGCCGTAATCAGGAAAGTATGTTCTCAATAGTTCAGCCAGTTTCTTTTACTTTTTTTTGTTCCATTTGTGTATCTATGATTCGGCCTATTTACTCGAATGAACACAATTATAGAACTTATTTATGTAAAGATGATTCCATATAAAAAAATCATTTTTTGAAATTATTTAATCGGAAAACTTTCAAACAGCAAGAATTTTCAAATCCGATTAAGATGTTAATTTTAAACGACAAAATTTAGGTTTGGAGGGATATTACTCAAAAACTATTGACAAATTTTATGTGTCGATATTATCATTTAATATAGTTTAAAATAACTATAATTCAAAAATGTTTTGACTATTATTAAATTATTGTATAAAAATATTAAATGCTGATAAAAATTTCCTTTCGTAGTTTAGATAAATTATTTTAGTTTTACTGTTATAGAGAAATTTACATTAAAGGACCATCATACATTATGGCTCGATGTTTTGAGTAAATAACAATTTTTAATAATGTTAAAACATTTGAAAATCCGAACAAATTGAAAAAAGTTTTATTCAGCAAAGTACGCTGAGTGTCTGATTTCGTAACTTAAAATATCGTTTTCATTAGCATGTATGCTAATAGCTATTAGCTAATATAGCTATATTAGCTAATTATCATACTTAAGGTGGCGTAATCTGAATGATTAAGAAGGTAGACATAAAAAACGCTGAATTAAAAAAAAAAAATTTTTTTTTTTACTTCACCCTACTTGTGAAACTATTTAAGAGAATTCAAAAGAAGTGTTTATTCAAAAAAAAGTTTAGTGTAAATAATAATTAAAAAAAAATTATTAACTATAGTTTAATATTTAATAACGCTCGAAATTTTAAATTGTAAACTACATAATATTAAGTGGCAGAAATCAAAATGTTTGCGAAATCAGCCAACTCGTTTTTAGAGAAATGAAATTTCAAAAAAGTTGTTTTTTTTTTTAAATATTCAACCGATTTTTTTCAAATTATAGCTTTTGTCTGTTAAAAATCATACAATTAAAATTAATCACACTATTACATTTGTGAATTCAATAAGTCAACCATTATTAAATTACATTACAAAAAAAGTAACGTCATAAAAAGTTATGTTTTACATTGAATAACGCAAAGGTCATCGATGCACGAGTTTTCTACTCAGTCAAAAAAAGAAATTTTAAACTTTCATAAATATAGCGAAAAACGTAAGAGAGGAAATGAACAATAGGTAGTGAACTTTTGACAGCATTTTGAACGATTTATACGATATTTTCTAGATTACGGCTTATACCCGTATTTTGAGAGTCGATGCATTAAAAAAAAACCGTTTTCATACCTAATTACCCTTATCACCTACTGATTATATTTAGCTCATGAAAGTTATTAAGGATGCTCCGTCATTACTGAATCAAATTGCGTTATTCTGCGAGAAACAAACTATTCTTCATCATTTGAGGGGATAAACAGTGATCAGAATTAAAAGTGTTAGGTCGTTGAAGTGGAACTGACGGGGAAATTTCCGTAAACGTTTCGAAACGTTACATCAGGAGTGCTGTAAGTGACATTAGCGTTGTTCTGATTTGGCGGTGGATAGTGGATGGGCGTGGTCATCGCTTTTCTTCGCCTATTCTTTCTATGCCATCTGTAGCCAATGAAAGCGCCGGCTACAACACCCAAATACACCAATGTCACGGAGACAGCCGTGGCGATGACTGTAGCTTTAGAAGTGCAAACTTTATCATCCTCCTCTTCTATACTCTGTGGTCTTGGAGCTACAAAAAGAAACATAGGTGCAAGTAAATGGTTATATTCTATCTATATCGATTACTATTTAGGGGTCGTTCCCACTACATGTGATTCACGCAAAGTCGAGAGAAATAGAAAATGTTTCGCTGGAATATATAATTCAGCAATCACATTTTCATTCTTTCTTATCTGTGATCGGCTTACTCCCACTGAGATACACTCCCTGGGAAAACATCGTTTGCTTCCAGGGTGGAGCCATCCCATCAGTGGTATGCTGGCAACCGCCATGGCCGATCATTAACATGTTGCGGCCCTCGGCCTTTCCAATCGGCCACGGCCAGATTTCGTAGTGGCCATCTTAAGTGTTTAAGGTTTCAAAATGGGGGGAAGACTTTCCAACCTTGTTCCTGATCACCTTCTTTTTTGCATTGGCGCTTCTTTTAAGCAACTGCTGGTTGATCGGGACTTTCTGCACATATATGGGGAACTGACGCGACGTGGGCTTCTGGACATGGTCTAGGCTTTCCTTCTCCAGGAAGATGCGTAACAACAACATTATGATCGGGTGTGCACGCAGTGAGAATGATTCTTAAGTATTTGTATAACTGTGATAGAGTTCATTACGTCGCACTAGAGCTGCACAATGGGCTGTTGGCGACGGTCGGGGAAAGATCCCTGAGGCTGATCCGAAGACATGCCATCACAATTTTGATCCTCTGAAGAGGGGATGGCACCCCGCTTCGGTAGCCTGACAACCTGCCCGTGAAGTCGAGTACTTTACGGTAGAACAGTTAAACGAGGACCCATACCGCACACCCTCGGTCCCTACGCAGACTGATCTAAGTGGTCACCCACCCGCACACTGACCGCAGCTAGTGATGCTTGACTTCGGTGATCTGCTGGGATCCGTGTCTTAACAATCGGTCCATTGCGGGACAAGTATTTGTACAACTGTGATAGAATAACAAAATGTATTCATCATCTTTCGAGGGGAAATGAAGGTAAACTCGGCTTAGAGAAAACTAGCAAATTCTTTCCCCTATTTGAGACGGTTGTTGCATCTTTTCATTTGGTGACCCAACTCACCCCCAAATGTTTTCGATAGTTGGGTATTCATTCAAGCAAGGCTCAGAGAGGATGGATCACTCGAATGTTAATAAGGATTTGAATCTGGGTGGGGGATATGAATTCTACTCACGGTTCACTACTGATCTAGCAATTAATATCAGCAATAGACGGGTCATGATCCCTCGGAGTAACTGTGGGAAGTTTCCATGGTTTTCCTCTTAATGTAACACAAACGCGGATAAATTCCATCAAGAAGTCCTTCACGAAGACCAGTTGGTCAGAATGCTTGATTCAAGAGTTCCCTTGTCTTCTGGGTCAATTTTACCAAAATCTTTTTATTAATCTTTATATTTGTTTTCGGTTATGACAAAATCTTTATATTTATTTTAGGTGTTTGGATTTCAGAAAAACTACTCGATTGATTTTTATGTCACTTGGAAATTTGCAGCATGGTTTTAACCAACAAAAATCGAACATTCTCGAAATTTTTTTTATATAAACATTGAAATTTTCCCTCCAAAAAATATTTTTACTCTTTTTTTTAAAATTTTGCAACAAAAAAAAGAAAAAAATGAAATGACATTCTTTTTTTTTTGTTCTAATGTCGCCTCGTGTGACTATATAGTGTCGAACGTCTATCTGTGCTCGCTGGGTGTGCTCATTTTTATATGTTAATTATCTAGGGGGGGGGATGAAAAAAGTTAAACATGAGTCTTTGTATGATGATTTTTAAAACAAGGGATAACACAAAAGTGATACTTTCTGAAATACGCCGTTTTTTTACTTTTTTTTCTCTGTAAATTCTCAAACAAAACTTGGTAAACTTCCAACCACAGCAGATTTTTTTCTTCTTTTTTTGCTTCCAGCCGAGTAAAAACGAGATGATACAAAAGATACAGACACATTCTGCAACGCCCGAGTTTTCTCAGTACAATAAATATTTGAAATCCCGAGTTAACTCGGGATGATGAGGAGGGAAGCAGTTAAAGATCACATTCAATTATTATTAATAACAATGGGTGCAAAATATTTCAGTGTTAGAATTTGATAACTTTAAGATACCTGACAAATGAGAATAAGTATTACCCCACTGATATAGGGGAATGAAAAGAGGTGCTTCGAGCTTTAAAGAAATCTAAAAAACTACCGTCCCGCAGTGGACTGACCCAGCAGATCACCGAAGTCAAGCATCACTGGCTGCGGTTACTATGAGGGTGGGAGACAACGTGAATCAGTCTGCGAAGGGTCGGAGGGTGTTCGGTATGGGTCCTCGTTAAACTGTTCTTCGGTAAAGTGCTAGACTTCTCGTGCAGGTCGATACGGAAGTGGGGGGGGGGGCATCAGAGGAGCAAAATCCTGAAGGCCGGTCATCGGATCGTAATCGGGGATATTTTCCAGACCGTGGCCATTTTGCACGAGACGTAAATGAACTATTACAACGGCAATCAAAAGACTACCTAGATAAGGATATGTTTACTGAACCATTCTCAATAAATTAGCCATTTGAACTATTGGTCCTGGCAAAGCTCCCGGCAGAGAACTTATCTGGGCTTTAACTCTAGAACTATGAGTTTAGCGAGCTATTGGAACATTTAATTTTTCTACTGATTTCGCCTGCTTCTACTTTTTTTTTTTAATATTTTGTTGAAATGTGATTTCCATGACAGCGCACGTTTTTATCTATATTTTAATTTTTTTCCATCAATGATTTTGTTTACGTATCAATTTATTTTCATCATTGAGAGAAATTTCGTATTTTCGATACTGTGCCTGAATCACATAATACCCGGAAGGTTTACAAATCACTTTTTGAAACTGCTGTAAAAAAACACGATGGGTGCTCCCGTTTAACAAACACACGGACAGTTTTATATAGATAAAAAAATAAATAAAACGCTTACTATTAATGATGTTATGCCTCTGAAGTCCTCGGTTGATCTGTGTGGGTGGCCGCCATACTTGTTTAGGCTTTGCTGAATTTTGACTTTTTCCATCTTCACCCACTAAAATGGCCAAAGAGAGAGGAACTTCTTCTGGAATAGATTTTTGGGTTGTTGCTATGACCTCACTCGGTCTGTATTGGGGTTGAGAGGCGTAAAAGTTCGTTCTCCAGATCACATCATTTCGATTATAGTTTTGCTCATTTGGCTTGTCTCTAGAATTCTGTCCGTTCCACCTGTTGTTGGTATTCATGGGTGGAAGTGTTTGGACGACGCTCGGTCTATTGTGTTTTGTATTCCAATGTTGTTGGTCACCTGGTCTCGGTAATGGCACGGGTCTGTTAAAATCGTAACGATTTGGCTGATAATTAATGTTCCGGTCTGGAGTGTTCGGGATCTCAACTGGCCTTCCTTGGTTACTAGCAGGCAATCGGTCACTTCTCTCTCTGGGAAAGTCTAAAATTTCCAGCGGCCGTTGAATTTGTACTCCCGACTGGACACTGACTGTATCCGTTATTTCCTTCGGTCTATCACGGAAATTGGGTGCAGTCGTCACGATCCTAGGTTGCCGGTTATCAGTTTCTTGGAAATTGTAAATATTATAACGCGTAGCCTGGTTTAATAATTGCGGATTAAACTGGTTTTGATCCCATGATCCGGGTATTTCATGGGGTTTCGAATGGTCCCAGTTCCTGGATGGGTGAAGATTTTGTGACTTTCTCGATGGGTCAGCACTTTGTGATTGTATATTACTTCTCGAGGGATCGACAAGCCTTTGTGGATCGAGAGGGTGAACAGTGTCGGATGGTTGATAGTAAGGATTTCTTGCTGCTGAAAATGGATCTTTTCTAAGATCTAACCGATGATTATGGTAGTCTGTATTATAAAAGTGTCTGCTTTCCAATGTGGACTGATTTCTGGGAGATGATGCTTCAGGCAATCTCTTCGTATGAAAATAATAATTGGATGATGTCATTGGAGTCGTATAGCTATTGTTTTCCTCGTTATGAATGAAAGCAAATTTTCTATTAAAATTTGATGTTTTCGTTTGTGGTTTCGATGGTGATGTGGTCTTATCACTTCGAGTTGAATCGTCCATAGTTAAAGTTGAGACAACGGTTTCTGAATCATTTTTAAACTCAGTCGATGGCATCCTCTTAAATTTCGAAGCAGATTCAGTAGAAGGATGAGTATATTCTGGGGTATTTTTGGATGCCGCCAAATTTTCTGACATCTCTGGCCGATGTGTCGAGCTTTCTTCCGTGACACCAGTAGTTTCTTTCGATGTCTTTTCAGAAGAATCAAAGTTTGTATTTTCCGTGTAAGAGCCATACACTGTAGTAGGAAACGCAGTGTCTTCTGGGAAAAGTATAATTGAGGGAGATTCATCTTGAACCACAGCTCGGATCGTATCATAGTTGTCGTGATCAAAATAAACATCCTCGTCATCGAAGAGCGACGAAGAACCGTTTTTCAGAGATGTTTCTCGCTTCTTTCTTCTTCCATAAGAAACTCCCTTACCACCACACCGAACCTAGATTTTAAAAATAATCCATGTTATTCATCCATAAAGGAAATCAGGGGACATGAACAAGATGCGTCATTTTGGTTTAGAATCAGAGCATTAAATATTTTTGCATTTTTGGTTTTAAATTCTTTTTCAACAAGATTCAAGAAAACTGAAAAACAAATCTGATAATTATTACTATACTTACAAATATTATTAAAAAGCATTGTAAAAATTTAAAATATAAACTGCAATGTGTTTAGCTCCTGAACTGCTCCGTTATGTTTGTATAGTATAAAGTGACATATAACAAGGAGGTAGTGATTGTGACAAAGGCAGTAAAAATATCGAAAAAAAGTGACTTCATACATCGGAAGTAATAAAAAGAGAAGTTTGTGAGTACTTGACTCTCTTATAAGAATCATTTCCGGTGGGATTCTGCAATTTAGACAGGAAATGCAAGGGGCAATTTAACTGGTGATTCTGAGAAAAAAATAATTTTTTTTCTCCAAATTAGACGTGTGAAAAACGAATTTGTTCACATAAGTAAAGTATTGGTGCAATGAAAACTATAGGGCGAAACTTTTTTTTCCTCCTTTTTCTCAAATGTTTAAAAAAAATATTTGAAATTATAAAAGTTCTATTTTTTTTAAAAAAAAAAGTTTTATTGGGAGTTTATTGTTATTATAGTTGTTAAAACTATTATTTTGATTCCTTATGCTAGGTTTAGAACTGAGCGATGTCAGAAATTTTACATCGTGATATATCGTTTGTCAGACATCGCAATATAGCAATCTATAACGATTTAACAAATGTTCGAAAATTATCAATCAGAAATTTTTAAGTCAATTAAATATAAATAAAAGGAATAAATCCATAACAAAAGAAAATTTTAATTCTAAAAAAATGTTTCTTAAGTAACAATGGCATTATTTAATTTTTTCAATTAAAATACTATAGATTTGAGACAGCTGATGTCTTAAAGTAAAAATAAACACAAGCTTTATTTCAATTTTTTTTAAATGAAAAATGCCTTAAGATTTATTGGTTTGAAAATAATAATAAAACTGAGAAAATTATTTTACATAAATGCATGAAAAAATTTTAAAAAATGAAAGTAAAAAACAAACCTAAGAAACCGTTTTTTAAATTATTTGGTGAAAAAACGTACTTTTTAATCATCACTAGACCTTGTAAAAATTTATTTAAAATAATAAAGCTGCATTGACAAATGGTCAAATGGTCTTAAATTATTTATTATTTAATTTGATTAATTTATTTATTATTAAAAACAAAAATTTTAAAAAATCAATGAAGAATCTTTTTTTTTCTCGTTTTAATTCATAATTTCTTTTCATTAATAGATCGAGCTCAGAACGAAAATTTAAGATAACAGTGATTGCACAGCAATCGCAAAGTAACAGCATGCATTATAGTGCGCATAACAGCATTATAGTGCCATGTAAAATCAACTTGGTTGGCACATTAGTCAAGCGTATTGGAATTTTGGAACATATCTAAAACCACCATTTCATTTTGTTTCGGTTCATGAAATATGTTTCTATGACGTTAAATGAACGTTATTAGAATCAAAAGAATTATTATTACTTGTTAAAAGATAGCCCTCTATGAGGAGAGTGATCATATGGCAGCATAATTTCATGACACCATAGTGGTCTGCTGGAAGGGCTTCACTGAGTGTTGATAGAGGTTACCATCGCATGCATTACCCCCCGGATAAATAATATCAATTTTAGGTGCTGAATTAATTAATCTTTCGAACGAATATTTTTAATTTATTTGAGTATAGGTAATCTTTATTTTGATGAGCTGAACTTTTTAAACGATATGTTTTGCTAAATCTTATAATGTAAAGTTACCAGGAACGGCAACAAATAAATCAAATTTTTTTCAAACTTTGTATTAGTTTTGCGCATGATTGCGTATTTAATATCAATTGAATAATTATTTACTATTCACCCTGTATGAATTCTGAAGGTAATTACAATTTTATTTTTATTTCATAACCGTCGTTGAACAGCCGACCCAAAGTTTTGGGTTTACGACTGCTAATGTTCAACTCCGTAGCCTTGCAATTTTGAACCTATTCCAAAAGACAAGGGAACTCCTGGTTTGAGTATCGGGAAAAATTTGCCTTCGTGGACGATTTTCTGATAGAGCTAACCTGCATTTACGTTACACGGAGTGGAAAATCACGAAAACTCCCTCGCGTAGCCTGACGGCAAGGGGACTCTAACCCATGATCCGTCTGCTACTGAGGATATTTTACGTCAACACTGTGGTCGGTCCAAGCCGGATGCGGAATTCGTAACGACTACCCATCGTAGGGATTCGAACCCGGTTCATTTCATTGGAAGGTTATCGTTCTATCCCCTGAGCCACCACGACTCAAGGTCACTGCAATTGTAAAGTTCTGATTTTTTTTATGAAAGAACATGCTCTTTAAATTTATGGAACTTAGTAGTGAAAATCACCTGTTCGCATTTTTCTTGACAAAATCGGATCTGTACTTCAAAATTGACCATTCCTGAAGATGGAAATCTAAATGCCTTGAAAGTAGAAATCAAGGATTTGTGGTCCTTCGTATCCAGTTCAAGGGCTGGAAAAATCGTTGCGTCNCTGTGATCATTTCTGAAAACATTAGCTACGAAAATATGAAGAATACGAAATCAACTATATTAAATAGAGATAAATAAAATAAAAATTATCATTCGCATTTTAACTCATGGAAGAATAGAATTTTCAATGGATTTCTAAGTCACCAACATTTTCAAAATGAATTTACAAGTTTACAAAAAAAAAAACAATAAAAAAATTGAGAATTATTGGAGTCAAACTATAACTGGTACAATTTTATATACACAAAATCCAACTAATAAGTAAACACAGGGTACTCTATAGTTTGTCTACAGAAGGAACTCCCCTCACCCTAAGGCCGTCTGCTGCTATGGAAACAAGAAATAATGCATTTCAAAGATGGGAGTTTCTTTTTTTTCCCTGACTCCCTTTGTCTCTCCGATTCGAGTCAAATCATCTCTTAAATAATGACACAACTTAAAATGGTTAAACCTCGTAACCTTATTCACTGCCACTACTCCAGAAGAATGGTTTGGAGATTCCTTTACACAGACAAACTACATAACGTCCACTTAATATATATATTTTTAAAATAGAACTTAAATAAGAATTCACCGCATTATGTTGCTGTTGTGACTCATTTCTCAAGGTCTTGCTGCAAGCTAGAACATGTCCAGGAGTTCATGAATCCTCAAAAATTCATTTACAATAAGAGGTGTATAGTTTGCCTAAAGCAAGAACGCCCCTAGCTATTCTTCTGCACCCATGGCGGTGACTTTGGTAACGAGGAATAACTATTTTAAGTAGGGGGTGTAGGGTCATTGTTTATGACAGGTTTTAGTTCGGTCTAGTCTGTGACAGAAAGGGAATCATTTTCTTTGATTTATTGTGTAAGCCCTAGAATGAAGACGAGCTATCCTCCCTGAAATGCGCCTTTCTTGTTTCCATAGCAGCAGACGGCCTCAGACTTTGTGGCGAGGGGAGTTGTTACCGTAGACAAACTGTAGTTGTAAGGTCCTCACGCAGTGGAGGAGATGTTTTGGGGAGGCGTGGGGAAGCCAGTGAAATTCGAAGGCAATATTCTGCTTAACAATAAGGTCCTATATCTCCCTCTAATATTGACCTATAATACTCAAATTGGACCACGTATTATATTACCGGGTACTAATGTACCCCATCAGAGGAACTTGGTGCACACGCGATAAGTAAAAGATTAAAATAAATAACCACGTTATATAGTACGGCTTTCAGCAGAACTCCTCCAGACATCGCGTTGTGGCGGTTACCATGACTACTAGAAGAAGTCACTTCGAATAGGGGTGTGGGGGTGAATAGTCTCGATCCTGGCATAGGTCAGCGTGAGTAAACCAATCTTCATTCCTCCATTGCATCCTCTGGCTTGTTACCATAGCAGCAGACTTTTTGTCAGTCTCAAAGCCGCACACTAGTTATTTTTTAAGCGGAAACATTATCAAAAACATTCGTGAGAAAACCGTGATGGAAAAAAAATCAGAATCAATTTAATTACTTCAATCGTTTCTAATAATTGCTTTTCAACCTTCCTGTTTCCATTGGTAATCGAATAGTGTTACATGTTCAAGATTTCGATAGCGTTTTTTTAATAAATGTTAATTTGAGGTTCTTTACAGTAAGCTAAATGTATGCATTAAATAGTATCTTAATTACCCAGAGCTATCAATCAGGAATAGGGATTCTCCGTTGGTGCTTCGAGCATACAAGTTGCGTGCAAAAATTGCAAAAGCACCTGCAAAAAGAAAACATTTGAATATTTAATGAAAACATTTTTTTTTAAAGTTATCACTTATTTATTGATGAAATGGAAAAAAAAGGAAGATAATTTTACTGGAAGACTCTCTCAGTTCGATTTTTAAAGTGAGTTCTTCGCCGAGTCCAACAGCTCTGGCGTCCTTTCCTGTTCTGTCCAGAACTCTCATGGCCACATTCGGTGGAGGTGCAGTATTGGTCACAACAGCGGTCAGTGCAGCTTTGTTGTAGGTTCGTCTGTTGGAGAGCACACATTGAAATGCAACACATAAAAATCAAGTTTGCTTAAGCATTAAACTATACAATTATTTTGTTTTTAAAACTAAATTTCGAAAGTAGTCTCAAACTTTGACTCAATAGATCTTTCATTTCAATAAACTGAATGATCAATAGAATCTTACCCATTCTTTTAGTCTTGTTTAAACCTAATTATTGTACACTGGGATATCACCTTAAATAACTTTTGTTTTAATAATCAGATTTTCACGAACTAATTGCCAATCTAAATGATCTTAAATGTGCCAATTAACGATGAATTAAACACTCAACATCCCGTTTTTCAATGGATTTGGTTTTTTGACCATCAAAACAAGGGCAGGAGAGCGGTCAAAAGTTTAACATTATTTTGTGCTTATGTATCGGGAAATTTTCAAGCGAAGGAAAACACACAATTTTTTTGTACACAATGTATTCAAAGATACAGAAAAAGACTTTTATAATAATTGTTTTAATAACCTTTAAAAAAATATATTCAATTATAAGATGTGCAATTTTTTCTTCAATTTTTAAGTTACGTAATTTTAATTGACAAAATACATAATGAGAGCAAAATAATTTTCTGAGTAAAAAAAATTTTTAAAAAAACCATATTTTTGAAAATTCTATTTCTCAAGAACTTTTCTATTAATTCTGTTAAAATTTTACATTGTCACATTATAATTGATAATGTGAAAATTAGTATACAGTACAATTTAGACTTTTTTTTTGATCCTCCCTAAATAAAAGAATTAAAAAAAAAACTGTCATGATCATATTTTAGAGATTTCAGCTACCTCCTCAGGATCAAAAATTCAAATTCACTGAAGAAAGAAAAGTATGTTTAATTAGAGAAATTACTTTTTTGTGTCTATTTCCGTAAATTAATATTTAATACTAATTAATTAGCATATCTGAATCATTATGATCGGCACTTTTAGTTCGACGAGTCTCTTTTATATTAGTAATATTCTTTTAGTTTCATTTGAGGTTGTAAGAATCCGATCTTTAGAATAAAAGTCATTGGTGGTAAAATATTTCAAACGAAAAAAAAAAAAAAATAGAAAGTACCCTTTATCAACACTGATCGTCACATCTATCTTAATGGTAGGGATCTCGAATATTTTTTTAATTTAGAGTCGAAAAAATTGGGCTTTGGAAAGATTATTTTTTAATCATCGATGGCGCAAGAGAAGCGCGGTGCAGTCTATTTAAAAAGGAAGATTAGTGAGCCAGCTTAATTATTGTCCACCTAATATATTTCTTTTTAAGATTAATTTGTAAGTCACTGCTTTAATATCAAACTATTGAATTACATTGCGTAACTATTAGGGGAATCGGAAAGTAACGTCGTTTCGACGCCTTAAATAATCGTTAGTCTTAAAAACAAATTCAGTTTTTTTCGATTCATTTTCAATCCGGCATTGAAAGGCTAACGAGGGTGAATACATTATCGATTAAAAATAAACTCTCTATAAAAAATATCAAATGCACCGAAACGCTTTCCGGTCCCCCTTCTACATTTGAAGTTCAGTTATTAGCTCGATTTAAATCTCCTGCAATCAATTGTACGGAATACATTGTTGAAGATCATCACATTCTTTTCACCCGTCACCACAGTCCACCTCGAAATACTGACTTTTAATTTCCAACCTGCATATTAACATTTCAGGCATTTACAGAGCAGGAGCACCATTATTATTAGGTGAGCCAACGTTACTCCCACAGTCAGAACATCCATGCCTTGCCCAGAATCTTATTCATGCAGTCCGGTCGGCTGGAAAATATCATAATTCCGCCCGTAATTGTTTCTGAATCCGCATTTGAAAACTATAAGCATTTTTTCCCCATTGTTCTCTTCAGTGAATGCTATTGAATAAAAAAAATTTTTATACGAATTTTTTTGCTCGCTACCGAAATGCAGGTCACATGAAACCTAGTGGCACGCGTGCCATATGGTCACAATCTCTGATCCAGGAGATCGATAAGTAGTCTAGGTTTAAACGTACTGTTGACCGCATATGACAAAATTGTAAAATTTCAACTTCCGTGACGATGTTTTTTTGAAAATGAAAAGCGTTTGTGGTCTAATTTTTTAATATTTATAAACTTACACCAATGTTGCGTTACTTATTTGGCTCAAACAAATTTGCAAAAACTGGGAAAGACGTTTTAATTTCACCATTTTCATCTGAGTTGGAATACGTAGCCAAATAGGTAATTTTTTTTAAAAAAAGTTGAATAACATTTAAAATATTTAGTTATTTGTCTGTTCTAAAGCCCAAGAAATTCTTCATGGTAAGATCATATTTGAAATCATCTAGTGTAAGGCACTCAAACAATGGGTATATATATATATATATATATATATATATATATATATAAAGCT